ATCATACACACACACACACAACAAACAGAGCATTTTTTTGTGGTATAGAATAAGAAATAAGATATTTGAAGTAGTATTAAGATTGGTTCATTAGGGGCAGCTAGATGGCACAGTGGATAGAGCACCTGCCCTGAGGTCAGGAGGACCTGAGTTCAAATCCAGCCTCAGACCAAACACTTGACATTTACATGCTGTGTGACCTTGGGTAAGTCACTTAACCTCAACTGCCTAAAAACAAAACAAAACAAAACAAAAAAAGATTAGTTCATTACATATAGCATATCCTCCCTAATTAAAATCACATGCACACTAGAGGCTTTGATGTCTCAACGGCTTTCCTAAAGGCTTTATTGACCTCTTTGTTCCTCAGACTATAGACAAGAGGGTTCAGCATAGGGATTACTATTGTTTCAATCTGAGTGAAAGGTTCATGCAAAAGGATTAATGAGAAGCAGAGTAGTAAATTGGCTCCAACATTCAAATGTTGGTCACCTCTAATAGCTGCTTTATAAGAGAAATTTGAAATACCTTTGAACAGCAGTTTAGGTAGGTACTAGGATAATTTCCTGAATTGTCTTATAGTAAAATTCTAATATCCTTTACATGTTAAGGAGCCATAGTTCCTTTTAAGATTCTCCTGATGAATACATTTTAAAGAAGTCATTACTTTCAAGGAAACTTCCCCAGAGAAATAGTGTGCTCAATAACCCAAAGAAAATATTTAATCAAATTTATCGATTAAGTGACCTAATGAGCAAATGGGACACAGAGTGATATCTTGAAAACCATAAGGTATAGGAGTTAGGAGACCTGGATTTTGCCATTAATTGCCTGGTTGTCCTTGGGGAAATTGCTTAACCTCTCTGGGCTTCATATTTAACATCTTCAAATGAGAAGGTTGGATTGAATGATCTCTGTAGCCTTACCTAGCTTTAAATTCAGTGGTCTTTGCACCAAAGAAATGAAAGGAGACACATGTGAACATTGGTGGACTCTTAAGTGGGCCAGTTGCTATTCGAATGCTGAGTCCTAAGTGGCAGGACTTAGGAGGCCACTGAGAAAACTTTAGCTCAGAGAAGATCTTATATATGGAGACCAACTATCAGGCCAGTCTCATCCATTTTCTTCCTGAATTGAGTTTCTTTCATTGCATGAAGGAGTTTAGCACAGCTGTTTTGCTAGTTGTAAGTAGCTAACTACAGTTTTCCTTTAACCAACTGGCATGATGTGAAGTTAATTGGAACAGCTGGCCTCCTATTATAGTACTCTGATGTTATGATAAAAGTGCTGCGTACACAGAAGTTATTAACATCTACATGGACAGTTCATGTAAGCTCTCCTTTTTAAATGATGGTTGTTAATTTTTATCAATTTGTAAAAATGTAAAAAAATAGGTAAGGAAATGCTATTCTAACAAGTTTAATCAAATATAATCAATTATAGCTGACATTCACTGAACTAAAAAGGCTTTCCTTATCCTTTAATTTTTTAAGCATTCGCTTTTTTTTAACTGGATCCGTGAACCAGTAGGTCAAGAAATATAATGTTGTAAAGAGTAAGGATTTTTATGTCTAATGTTGTGGTTTAATCTAGTTTCACATATATTTATTTACAATTTTCCTACCTCCCTGAGTCAGGAAGAGAGAAAAGGCTTAGAGGTGATTTATGCTAGAGTTTACAAATATTTCCCCAGTCATGCCTTCCCCTCTCATCCTTAAGAGAGGAAAAAGCAGGAGCTGATGGCAGGTGTTTCTCTTTTTCATTGATGTGTACTCTCTCCTTAAGCTATAAAGAAGCTGAGTAGATCCTTAGCAAGGAAGAGGATTTAGCTGTTTAAAAAAATAGCCTGGATTCTTAAGTAAAGGGCACTGAATGGCATGACTGGCTATGTTCAACTTAAAATTGCCTTGAATAATAAAGAGATCTGCTTTAGATAAATGTTTGGAATCAGGAAGACCTGGGTTTAAATTTTACATCACTCACAATTTATCCACTTCTAGAATGAGGTTAAATATACCATGAAGATCAAGTGAGTTAATATATATAAAGCACTTTCAAACCTTAAAGCATTGTATAAATGCAATCTGTTTTGTCCCTTCCACTGTCAAAATGCACATTACATTTTGTTTGTGTCTCTCTAGTTAACTTATCTTGTATTAGTTAATATTGTGACTGTTTTAATCAATGTGTTTTCTCCCTATAATGTTGTGAGCTCCAGGGGGCCAGGGACCTTCTATCATTTACACTTGACATTTGTGTGGTCATGGGCAAATCATTTAATTTTTCTAGGTCATATTTGTAAAAGATATCTGTGCTTCATCAGCTCTGAAATGAGACTGGTAATGACTGTGGCCTCAATTCACATCTTTGTGTGACAAGACAAAACAGGAAAATGCTTTGTAAGCATTAAAGCAATAAAAAGGATGTCCCAAAAGTCTGAGTGAAGTTTCAGACTCACAGCTTCAAATTGCACCAAGACTTTAGGGATACCCTGGATATCACCAGGTCTTACTTTTAACATGTTTAAGAGGCAGTGTGGCACTGTAGATAAGAAACCCATCCTCAGAGTCAGGAAATTATATTTTCAGATCCTTCTTCTAACATATGCTAACTGTTTGATTTGAGCCAAGTCACTTAAGCTCCCAGTTTCCCCAGGAAATTTTCTCTCAAGTGAACAGCAGAAGCTGTATTGCACTGCTAGAAGAAAATTCATCATTAGGAATTCTTTCAGTCAGTAAGACATACACATATATACACACACATATACATATATACACATACAGATAGAGACAAGAGACAAAGAGAGATAGGTAGAGATACAGATTAAGAGCAAGATAGAGATAGATAAAGAGAGAGATAAAGAAAAAGGTAAGATAAATATTTAATAGATGATAGTTGTAAATATATAGTAGGTAGGTGATATAAGGATAGAAAAGGTGATAGAAAGATACAGATATAAGTAGAGAAATAAATGATAGATGGGTAAAAAGATAAAGGAAGGAGGATAGATACATAGAGGGAGATAAATCGATAGATGGATAAATAGAAGCAAAAGATAGATAATTGGTAGGTAGGTAAATGATAGATACTGATAGCTGGATAGGTGAGGGATAGATGATTAATATGTAAGTAATAGATAAATGATAACTGGACAGATAGAGGAGAGATGATAGATGGATAAATTATTTAAATATATCAAAGAATGAAAAGAATAAGAAATCATCATATAAAACTTGTTTCAAAAATCTTTGGGCAATTTCAACCAACTAAAGCCTAAAATGCATTAAGACTATTGAGACACTCTTTTTACTCTTCGTGGCTTTCTTCCCACCTGTCTGAGTGGTCCTTGATAGTCTATTTTTTTTACTCATACCAAATGAATATGAAAATGAGACAATTTTCTTTTTTATTCTTTCATCTTTAGACTTAGCATATTTATGTTATCTATATCCTCACTAGTAGCAACATTTTTATTCTACTCTGTGCTCAGAAAGCGGTTCAGAAATCTTTCTTGTATTGAATAACTATAATAGTTTGCATTTTTACACAATTACTTAGTAAAGTGGCCTTGGACTTTGGAATGATTTGTATCTTTGGAGAGTAGCTGAAATTGTTTACTCTCTTACCCTACCTGTTAGCTCATCATTAAAAACTTATATGCATTAAGAAGTGTCCACTTTTAAGGATATAGATAGATATAGATATAGATATACATATAAATATAGATATAGATATAGATATAGATATAGATATAGATATAGATATAGATATAGATATAGATATAGATATAGATATAGATATAGATATAGATATAGATATATTAGATATAGATATAAAGTCAACAAACAAGATGTTTGTTATTAAATATTATTTTAATGTTCCTTTAATAAACATTTATTTATTTAGTGTCTACAAGACAGTTGACGCTGTAGGGAAGGGCAAAAATAGCACAATCTCTGGTTTCAGGGGAAATAGTTTCAAATCCCACTTCTAATGCTGACTGACAGCATGACTCAGGAAATCACTTTACCTAAACGGATTTCGGTTTCCTCATCTGTAAAATGGCAGAATTGGATTGTAGAGACTCTGGAGTCTTTTCTATATCTTCATATATATATATATATATATATATATATATATATATATATATATATATATATATATATATATATATATGCCTGTAATTATTTCCCTTGATACCTTTGTGAACCCAGAACAGTGCTTAGGAAATGAAGATTTTTATGGTGTGGCAGGGACAGGTCATTTTTGAGCCTGGGATACTTTGCAGAAGAGCAGACATGATATGGTGAGAACCTTGCAGTGTAAGAACTATAGTGTTTTACAGAGCATCAGGACAGATGGTCATCTAGCATTTATTAAGCATCTACTATATGCCAGACACTTACTAAATTCTGGGGATACAAATCCAGTCCCTGCTCACTAGGAGCTCACAGTCTAATTGGGAATATAGCTCTGCATAAATAAGCTATATAAAGGATAAATTAGAGTTGCTCTTGGGGGGAAACTTTAAGATTCAGGAGTACTGGTAAAGGCTTCTTGTAGAAAGTGGGACTTAGCTGAGACTAGAAGGAAGTCAAATAAGCCAGAGGAGAAGGTCAAGAGGAAGACTGTAACAGGCATGGGAAATAGCTAGTAAAAGCTCTTTGGTAGGCAGATGGAGTGTCTTGTGTGAGGAATAGCAAGGAAGTCAGTTTCATTGGTTTACAAAGTACATGGAGGGTCATAAATTATAAGGAAATCAGAAAGTTAGGAAAGGATGAGGTTATGAAGGTCTTTAAAAGTGAAATAGAGAATTTGAAATTTGACCTTTGATGTAACAGGAAGCCACTGGATGTACGTGATCCTTTAAATGTAGGTGAAATGGAATCCTAAACAAATTTAGTTTGTGTTGAAATTTCTTCTGGCCATGGTCCTTAAGATGACAATACTTCTTTCTTTGGACTGCAGGTAACTGTGTTGTCAGCGGCCACGTCACGTACATGGAGCATCAAAGGAATGTTACAGAATTTATTCTTTTGGGGCTCTCATCAATTCCAGAGGTACAAACAATATTGTTCCTTATGTTCTTTATTATATATGTCATCACCATCGGTGGAAACCTGCTCATTGTGGTCACCATTGTCAGTAGCCAGGCACTAACCTTACCTGTGTATTTTTTCCTCGCTTCTCTCTCTTTTATTGATACTTGCTATTCCACCTCAGTGGTCCCAAAGCTCATTGCAGATTGTTTGTATGAGAAGAAAATCATCTCTTTCAATGGGTGTATGACTCAGCTATTTGCAGAACATTTCTTCGGTGGTGCTGAGATCATCCTGCTCACAGTGATGGCCTATGACCGCTACGTAGCCATCTGTAAGCCCTTGTACTATGTGACTACCATGAATCAACATCTATGTGGTCTTCTGGTGTTTCTGGCATGGGGAGGTGGCTTTCTACATGCCATGATTCAAATTCTCCTCATCTTTCAGTTACCCTTATGTGGTCCCAACTTAATGGATCACTTTGTTTGTGACTTTTACCCATTGCTGGAGCTTGCCTGTACTGACACCTATGTTACTGGTATCTTGGTGATGGTCAACAGTGGGGTAATCTGCCTTGTGAACTTTGTCATGCTAACTGCCTCATATGTCATCATCTTGCATTCTCTGAGGTTCCACAGCGTGGAAGGGAGAAGTAAAGCCCTCTCCACCTGCAGTTCCCATTTCACTGTAGTTGTGTTGTTCTTTGTACCCTGCATATTCACATATGTGAGACCGTTGCATACTCTGCCTGTTGATAAAACTGTGGCCATATTCTATGGTATTCTCACTCCTATGCTGAACCCCCTGATCTATACCCTAAGAAACTCAGAGGTAAAAAATGCCATAAGAAAATTGTGGGCATAATAATTTAGAAAGGCATCAGAGGGCAATGTAAAAGACATTGGATTAGCAGTCCAAGGCTCTGAGTTCATATGAAAACTCTTCTATCTTATTCATATGCCTCCTCATCCACACAGATGAACAGGCTGAACTGATTTATGATAGCCCTTCAACTCTGGATGCAACAAACCTGTGAGATGTGATTTTAAATAAAGGAATAGTAAAGCTGGAATATAAAAACAAAATCTCTATTTTTCTTCTGTTAATCCTAGACTGCACACATTTTTTTCAAATAGAAGCATGCCTAGAACATGAGAGATTATTTTGTTTTTCTATTTTTGTCCCCATCCCTGGGCATAGTGGCTGATTTGTAGTAAGTGCTTAATATATGTTTGTTCATTAATTGATTGACTGATGAAGAATAATTGAAATGTGTGGTTATCCGAACCAAGGAGCTTTTCAATTTCTATTTGCAAAGCAAACAAATGAAGGGTGATTCCAAATAGGAGAAATTTCATTGTTAGTAGCATGACCTAGAACAAGAAGGGGCCTTACATATTATCCATTAAATACACACACAAGCACACACACATACACACATACACACCTCTTTTTTGTAGATGAAATGATAGTCATAAGTTGTTTTGCAATGTCACAGCTACTTACTGGTATAACCAGGGTAGAGTGGCTCAGCAGAAAGAATGCTTGATTTGGAATCAGAAAAAACTGAGTTTGAACCCTTCATCTGTGGCTTTCTACAAATATGAACTTGGAGAAGACACAACTCTGAGTCTCAGTTTTCTCAGTTGGAAAATATGAGACTCTGCATACACCAAGATAACCTCTATATGGTTATATTATTAAAATATGAAAGTTGACATCTTAAGTAAATTAGAAGAGCAAAGAAGAAATAACCTTTCATATCTGTGGATAGGGGAAAATTTTATAAGTAAACAGATAATAAAGAGGTTTAAAGAATATAAAATAATTTTGATCATTGATCAAAATTGTTCACACATATATACATATATTTCATAAAAATATAATGCAGTTAAACTTACAGGGTAATCAGGTAACTGGGAAAATATTTATAAGACATTTCTGATCAAGATTTCATATCCAAGATACGTAAGTACTGATTCACATAAGAACTAGAGCCATTCTCCAAACAGAGAGATGATCAAAACATATGTACAGACAATGTTTAAAGGAAGAGGCCTGTACTATCGACAACTGTGAGAAAAATGCAACAAAACACTAAAAATCAGAAAAAAAAAATCAAACGATGAGATTCTGCCTCATCCTAATCAGATTGGCAAATATTACAAAGAGGGGGAAAAGCATAAATAATGCAAAGACTATGGGAAAGCAGACACACTGTTGCACCATGGACCTAGCGGTAAATTGTTCCGGCCATTCCATAAAATGATTTAGAACTATACCCAAAAAGTTACTAAAATGTGTTATTCCACTCTCTCTAGTTACGCCGTTCCTAGGCATATGCCCCCAAGCATCTTAAAGAAAGAGGGAAAATATCTATATTTATGGAAGCTCTTTTTATAGTAATCCCAAACTGGAAACCAAGTGGGTACCCACCTATTAGGAAACCACTAAATAAACTATGGTACATTAACATAATGGAGTATTATAATGCCATTAGAAATTATAAAATAGTTTCAGAGGAAATTGGATAAACCTGCATGGACTGAAACAGAGTAAAATGAGAACAATCTGTATAATATTAACAATATTTTAAAGAAAAAAACAGCTTTGAAAAATCTCTGATAAACCATGAGGCCAGAGGACCGAAGATGAAATACCCACCTACCTTATGCCAGAGATTTAATGGATTTAATATGAAGGATGAGACATCCATTTCTTTACTTGGCCTGTGTAGGGATATATTTTGCTGGATTATGTATTTTTGTAATGAAGATTTTCCATTTTTTTGATTATTCAATTTTGAGGGGACAGTGGGAGGGAGGGATAATAAATGCTTTTGGAAATAGATTGAAAAGCAGAACAAATAGTAGGCAAAAATATTTTAAATATATAAAGAAATGAATGAATGAATGAATGAATGAATGCACCTAATGAGGGTTACACTGTTTTAGCTCTAATGTCCATTTCAACACTAAATCACTAATCCTATGATCCTGTAATTGTAACTCGATTTTTCTGACATCACTTCTAGTTCCACTCCTTACCTACCCCCCTCCAATTACAGTATTCTAGGTGAGAGAGTAATTTAAGGTGTTAGGTTTGTCTGAGAGGCATCCAAGTAGTATAATATGTAGAGTAAAGGGCTTGGAGTCAGGAAGGCCTATTCAAATCTGAGATAAGACATTTGAAAGTTCTTTTAAACTAAGCAAGTCACTTAACCTCTCTGCCTCATTTTCCTCAGCAAGAAATATCACTTGATAATTTCAATGCAGGAAAAAAAAAGGATTTTGACAAAATACAGCACATCCTTATTAAAAATACCAGAAATCACAGGACTTAAAGGAACTTTTTTAAAAATGATGAGAAGTATCTTCAAAATGACAAGATAGAATCCTTTCTGATAAGACAAGGGATGAAACAAGGTTGTTCATTATAGCCATTGCTGTTCAAAATTTTATTAAAAATTCTTGTTATAAAGGTAAGACAGGAAAATGAAAATTAAGGATTAAGAATTGACAATGAGGAAATGAAATTATCACTTTCTCCAGATGACATGTTTTTTTTTTCCTAATGAGTCATAATATTCAACAACTTAAGAAAAATTGTAGGATATAAAGTAAAACTACAGAAATCACCACCATTTTTCTATATTACCAAGAAAATGCAGTAAGGAAGAGATAGAAAAAGAAATTCCATTTAAAATGACTAAGGATTGAGCCAAGATGGCAGAGTAAACAGTAAGTCACTCTCACTCTCCCTTACTGACCTTGAAAAACCCAGAAAATACTGCCCCAGGAAAAATCTTGGAATAGTGGAGCAAGTAGAAAGATGGGGTAAGGCAATTTTTTAGCTTGTGAGGCTAAGGGGATTAATGGGAAAGGTCCCTGTTGCTATGACTGAAGAGGACCACTGTAGAAGAGGAGGGATCCCCACAAGCCAGTGGCAAGTATCACTTCAGCACATTAGCATGACACATCATAAGCCCAAAGGAGGTGCAGTGGGTGAGTGCCAACACCACGATCCCCACGTGGGAAAGGAAATGAGAGGTATACAAGAGAGAGTCAATAGCTTGGAAAAGGAAGGACAAAAAATGACAGTAGAAAATAAGTTTTTAAAAAATACAATTGGCCAATTTTTTTAAAGTACATTAAGTACATCCTTAAAAAGTAGAATTGTCCAAATGGAAAAAGGAGGTACAAAAGCCACTGAAGAAAACAATTTGTTAAAAATTAGAACTGGGAATGTGGAAACTAATGACTCTATGAGACATCAAGAATTAGTGAAACAAAATCAAAAGAATGAAAAAAAATTGAAGAAAATGTAAAATATCTTATTGTAAAAACAACTGACCTAGAAAATAGATCCAGGAAAGATAACTTAAGAATTATTGGTCTAGAGCCTAAATAGTATCTTCCAAGAAATCAAGGAAAATTGCCTTGAGGTCCTAGAACCAGAGGGTAAAATAGTCATTAAAAGAATGTACCAATCACCTTTTGAAAGTGATCTCAAATTGAAAACGCCAAGAAATGTTATCACCAATTTCCAGAGTTATCAAGTCAAGGGGAAAATACTGCAACACCCAGAAAGAAACAATTCAAATATTGTGGAACCACAGTCAGGATTATACAGGACCTTGCAGCTTCTACATTAAAAGATCAGAGGGCTTGGGATATGATATTCTATAAAGCAAAGGATCTTGGATTATAGCCAAGGATCAACTGTCCAGGAAAATTGAGCATAATTATTCAGGGGAGGAGATGGGCATTCAATGAAATAGGGGACTTCCAGACCTTCCTGATGAAAAGACCAGAGCTTAACAGAAAATTCAGTCTTCAAATACAAGACTCAAAGAGGCATAAAAAGGTAAACAAGAAAGAAAAAAAAAGTTATTCAATAAGGGCAAACTGTTTACATCCCTACATGGGAAGATGACACTTGTAACTCTTGAGAACTGTATCTTTATTACAACATCTAGAAGGGATAAACATAGTCAGAGGGTGTGGGTATAAACTGACTTTGATGTGATGATAAAAAAAACTAATTAAGACATGGAAAAGGATTGTAATGAAAGAAGAGGAAAAGGGGCAGAAAAGGGCAAATTACATTATGTGAAGAGGCACAGAAACATTATAGTAGAGGGAAAGAAGGCGGGGAGATAAACATTGTTTGAACCTTACTCTCATCTGATCTGGCTCAAGGAGGAAATAACATGCTCAGGTATAGAAATCTAACTTACCCTGTACACAGTAGGAGGGGAAAGAAAAGGAAGGGAGTAGTTAGAAGGAAGGGAAAAAGTAGTAAGGGCAAAGGGAAAGAAAAGGGAGAGGGCTGATAGAAGAGAGGGAAGATTGAGGGAGGCAGTGATCAAAAGCAAAACTTTTGATGAAGGAAAGGGAGAAAGGAGAAAGAAAAACATGAACAGGGAGGAGAAAGAAATAGGATGGAGAAAAAGACACAATAATTGTAACTGTGAATATGAATGGAATGAACTCTCCCATAAAATGGAAGGAGACAGAAGAACGGATTAAAAAACATAATGCTACAATATGTTGTTTACAAGAAACACATTTGAAACAGAAGGATATGCACAGGGTAAATGCAAAAAGGTGGAGTAGAGTATATTACGCTTTAGCTGAAATAATTAAAAAAAACAAACAAACCAGGGGTAGCAATCCTGATCTCAGACAAAGCAAAAACAAGAATAGATCTAATTAAAAGACTCAAAGAAGGAAATTATAGTTTGCTAAAAGGCACCATATATAATGAAGTATTACTATTATTAAACATATATGCAGCAATTGATATGGCATCCAAATTCTTAGAAAATACTATGGCAGAAACTGGGCATAGACAAACATGTT